TTTGTTACTATCAATATTATCAATCGTCACTATCATTACTTTTTCATTATAATTTTGTTGACATCGCCGTAGTTTTACCTTTTGCATTGTATCATGATTTTTATTATCCTTATCAGTATCATTACCGTGATTAGTATTTTCTTTTTTTTTTGTCTTAACAATTATTGTTACCATTTCTATCAATGTTTTTTGTTTTCAATATGAATATTTTATTGTTTGTTATTACCGTTACCATCTATTGTTATTTCAATGTCATTCTATGATCATCTTGAATATCATCATCCGTCTGTTAATAATATACGTATTTCCAAACAGGTTTATGGAGAAGACCACGTTTTTCAAAACACATTTATTCCTTACGCATAACAACCAGTTAATACATTCTCCGCAGTTCGCGATTCTTCCCAAGTCCGTTTTTTTTTTTCCCAAACAAACCTCGGTATTTCGAACTGCAGTCGTTACAGTTACTAAAAATAAATAAATAAATAATGCCAATAAATACAGCAGCTTCCCTGATGCTTGCGCCCCTCACTTCTTCACGAACCAGACCTCGTTATTGCGGCCAACGATGACGAAGGGAGAGTCGTATCCCACGGCGTAGAAGGTCTCGAAGTCGACGCCCTCCTCGCCGGCCGCCACCAGGTCGTCGTGGAGCTGCGCGGCGTTGCTGAGGTAGTCCTGGTGGCTGGCGAACCCGTGGAACCGCCTGCGGTCGTTGGTTTAGTTGTTATCTTATTATTATTATTATCATTGTCATTGTCATTAGTGCTTGTGTTATTGTTTTCATTGTTACTCGTTCTATGATTTCATTTTTTTAATGATTCTGCTTCATTTGATTATTCCTCCTCCATATCATATCTATATAATCTATATTATCACCAAAATTCAGGATGTAATTAGTTTTATCATCATTATATTATCATGTCAACCATAATCCAGTACTCTAAAAATTCCTACTTTCCATACTTGTCTTAAATTCAGAAAAGAAGATAAAAACAATAAATGAATATCATTGCAGCGAAACATTTACCTCGAGAACACGTGCAACTGCGGCCTGTCTTCGATGTACACGTCAGCGCTGGTGGGCGTGGGCGGGCTGTCCTGGTGGGCGGCGGGGACGTAGAAGCTCATGGTGTAGTTGGTCGCGCATCGAAGGTCTTGACACGGGACGAAGAGCGTTGTCACGGGGGCTGTCATGTCGACCTTTATCCCTGGTGGTGAAGAAAGTGACGATATAGGGTATCCTGGAAAGGAGGGAAGGGGGGGGGGAGGGGAGGAGGAAAGGGGAAAGGAAGAGAAAAGGAGGGAGGGGGAGGATTCGGAATTTTCGGATCCGGTTTAAACCCGGAGCTTTTCATCATTCCCATTTCATTTTGGCCAATATTAACATGCGTTTGGGGAAGCTAATGAGAAAATATTATAAATGGATCTCTCTTAAAGTGGGGTCGGGGGGGGGGGGGGGGGGAAAGGTTATCTCGCTACTCCCAAATAGATGAGCGATTTTTTTCATGAAAATATCAAAATATGAACCACCACGGGACAGTCCGCTTGTGTGGCAAATGTGACTATAGTTATACGACAAAGAAATAACTAGGTTTATGGATGTATAACCATGTAATATAATAATCATCGTTATTACTGAGAAACAACACGTCTTAAAATTAGGAAGAATAATGATAGCATTAACAACAATAACAATAACGGCAATAATAGGACAATAACGGCAATAATAGGACATAGAACAACGATAATACTGATATATATGCATGTGCAATTCATGATTATCAAGGGCATTATCATCATGATCACTATAAACATTTTCATTACTGTTATTGTCCTAATTCTTGTTGTTTTACTGCTATTTTCATTATCATTAATATAACCGTAAGTATCCCTATTCCTATCACGGCGATCATTATAATAATTACCTCTCACCATCGTTATCGCAAACATTATTATCAATTTCAAACCTTACCAGAACCAGTAATAAACATCAACAATATTTCATCACTCAAAAAACTACCTTCATGAATCACGCATCCTACATCCTTGTACAAGCGATGTCACTCATACAACACCATCATGGACCACATACCTGCCTCATTTTGACCGTCGATGTAGTTGAAGAGCCTGTTGAAGAGCCCGCTGTCGGATCCGCTTTGGAAGGTCGACACCCACTTCCTTGCCGGATACACGCGTTCCTCGTAAGACTGAAAGCATCAGGGTTTGGCTTTTTTATTGATGATGTTGTTGTTTTTTTTCTTTTTTTTTTGAGGATGAGGATCATATAGGATAATTACTATGATGAAAATGATAATGATGGTAATGGTAATCATGATAGTAATGAGGGTAATGATAAGAATAATGAGAAAGGAAAGATGACAATAATGGTGATTATAATGGAGATGATGATGATAATGGCAATAATGATAATGATAACAACAATAAAGATAATAATGGTGATAATAATAGTAGTAGTGGTAGTAGTAATAGCAACAAA